GTCTCGGTGACACAGCTAAAAAGGCCTAGTGGAACTTCCTGAGCCTGGCTAGAGTTTGGCGACTTGTCTCAGCAAAACTGCCTCTGCCCAGCTAACATGGTGGAATATTATTGGCCCTTACACCTCACCCCATCTTCAGGTCCCCATCTTCTTTCTCAACCCTATATAAGCATATGCCTCTTACAATAAAGCGAGACTCTACTTCGATAAGTCTCCCGACTCAGTGTGGTTCTCTCCGGTAGCTAGGAGGCCGGTGGTGGGGGTGGGGGATGGGGAGAGGGAGTGCCTGGTTCACCCACACTCATCATCCCGATCAGCCCGGGGAAGAGACCGTCTGTACTGGCTCTCCCACAGCCCTACCTGCCAGAGGACCCGGCAGATGGACATTTTTGGTAACTCACAAACACCATTAGACACAGACAACCCTGGTTGAAATCAGTGAGTCCCAAAGCAAAACAAAATGACACGAATGTGGGAAAGGACCCTGGGTTGGGGGAGAGGACACAGGTGGGAGACAAATGAGAGGGTAGAAGAAGAACTTGAACCCCTAGGAGGAGATGACATGCTCATCAAATCACCAAGGAATTGTGGGTAGAGCGCAGTCTGACCCTGGAGCCTGTGGTTTCATCCTTTGCTCTGAACCGCCATCAGTCTCAGGGCTTCCGTGACAAGATGAAACAAACGTTAAGGAGATAGTTTGGGGCTCCGTGTGGGAAAGAACTGACCATTCAAGGTGTTCCTTCGGTGCGCGTCCAGAAGGTGAAAATACTCCATCAAGGCCTTCACATTTCTCAAAGACAACAAGCAGTAGATTTTGTCCAGGTAAAGGAACCACAGAAAAGACCCTTGCTTCAGTTTCATCTCAGCAGCTTTAGGCTGGAGGTCCTGGCAACCTGACAACGGAATGGAGAATTCCGCTCCAGAACTAGAATGTTGGACAGGTCCCTAAGATAACCCGGCTGATCTATCTAGTGAGGACAGTAAGAGAGAATGAAATGGCTTCTCACTGTTCTCTGGCTTCGATGTGGGTATTTCCTATTTGACTTCTAGACCAGGAGGGCCTATTTGAGCCCAGTGCCAAAGCAGCTCTCCAGGCCACCTAGACAATATGTGCTTATTAGGAAGGGAAATGAAAACACAAGAGAACTAAGAGAAGCTGGCGGTTGTGGTGGTGCTGCATGCCTTTCATTCGGTACTTGAGAGGCTGAGGCAAGCGGATCTCCATGAGTTTGAGCCCAGTCTGGTCTACAGAGTGAGTTCCAGGACAGGCTCCAAAAGCTATAGAGAAATCCTGTCTCGAAAACCATTGGATGAAGGTCGACAGAGTTGAGGTCATATGTCCTGAGCTCCATCATTTCCATGCTCTGACACCATGTGTTTGTTTCAGCTTTATTCATAATAACCAGATGGATAGAACCCAACACCAACTGCCCCTGGGCAGTTGAATGTATTAATGGTGATGGTATATCCGCACAGTAGAATACTACCTGACAATAAAGATGAATGAGTCATGAATACATTCAACACAATGAATCTATGAAATATGCTGGGCTAAAAGACATTAAACCCTGGCATGCATAAGGGCCTGGGTTTAATCTCCATCATGGAGGGGGGATGGTAAAGTTTGCAAAGGAGTAGGAGTAAGAATTGCCTGAAGAGGTAATGGAGATGTTCTCTACCCTGACTGGTGACAGCCTTGTCTTGGCAAAACTCACCAACAGTGAGCCTTAAGGGGTGCATTTCTATTTAATGTAGATTAAATGTCAATGAACTTGATTGTTGTTCTTTTAAGATGGGGTTTCTCTGTTTAGCCCTGGTTTGGAACTCACTCAGTAGACCAGGTTGGCCTTGAACTCAGAGATCTACCTGCTCTGTATTGCTGGGATTAAGGGTGTGCACCACCATGCTTGGCCTACATTGACTTTTTTTTTTTAATGTTTATGGGTGTTTTTCCTACATGCACGTCTGTGCACCACCAGAATGCAGTGCCTGGGAAGGCCAGAAGAGGGAGCATGTGAGATCACATGGGGCTGGCCTAACAGATGACTGCACTGCTGTGTAGGTGCTAGGAATGGACTCTTCCTCTGGAAGGGTAGTCATTGCTCTTAACCACTGAGCCATCTCTCCACCTGGGTGTGTAGTTCTGTCACAGAGCATGTTCCCTGTGTACAAGGTCCAGGGTTCAATCCTCAGTAGCAGGGGAATACCCATACTCACATGAAGATAAAAGCAGATTTGATTATATCAATAGTTCACACTTGTTCATAGAAGACACCATGAACAAAGTTAACATATGGATGAAAGGTTGAGAGGAAACATTTTCAATATCTAACCCTAGCAAGATAGTATTTTTAAAAATTCAAGTCCTGTGAGATGGCTCAGTGTATGTGTGTGTGTGGGGGGGGGGTGGCTTGAGGACTGGAGTTAATCCTCAGGACCCACATAGGGAGAGGAGATGGTTTTTTTTTTTTTTTTTTTTTTTGGTTTTGGTTTTTTGAGACAGGGTATCTCTGGGTAGCTTGGGAGCATGTCCTGGAACTTGCTCTGTAGACCATGCTGACCATGAACAAGCACTAACTCTTAAAAGTATCCTCTGACCTCCACATATGTATGCATGCCCTTGCACAAACACACACACACACACATACACAAGTGCACGCACACACACACACACCATGAATGCACACACAAATAAATAGTAAAATTCCTAGTATCAAAAAAGACAGGAGGGCTGGAGAGATGGCTCAGAGGTTAAGAGCACTGACTGCTCTTCCAAAGGTCATGAGTTCAATTCCCAGCAACCACATGGTGGCTCACAACCATCTGTAATGAGATCTAGTGCCCTCTTATGTGTACATGGAGGCAGGGTGTTGTATTCATAATAAATTAAAAAAAAAAGACAGGAAACCTGATTTTTTTAATATGCACATTTTTCACTGTGTATTTCAGTGAGTTCGAGGCCAGCCTGGGCTACACAGAGAAACCCTGTCTTGAAAATCAAAATAAACAAACCCAACAAAAATGGCAAAGGACACTGACCAGCAATTCAAAGAAAATGAAAAGCTTCTAATAAAACTATGCAAACTCACTGGGTATTGGAGGCACAGGCAAGTAGATCTTGATGAGGCCAGCCTAATTTACAAAGTGAATTCCAGGACAGTCAGGGTTGTTACACAGAAAAACCATTATGCAAACTCATTCTCAGTAATTGAGATCTACACATCAAATGCACTATTTATCGAATGTAACAGAATTGATAATTTCTCTTTTAAGCTGTTCCAGAAGGTAGGATGGGGAAGGCCACAACCCTCCGACCTTCTTCATTCATCACTGTGAGGCCCTGTAGCCAGAAATAGAGGATTTAACCTAAGTTTCAAAGTAGCTTTGACTCTGTTGAACCTCCTTTTATTGCTATTTTTTTTAAATATGTAATTTACATACCCCGCCCAACATCTTACAAAAACAAAAGTCACTCTAGTGATGTGGGACAAGTTTCCCGTTGCGGAACTGTCACTGTAGTTTCCGGGCATTTTCAACACCCCAGTGAGATTCCGCATCGCTCTTTCCAGCCAGTCCCCTTGTCTGGAAGCCAATCCTTAACAGGCTCTTCACAGCTTTGCCTTTTCTGGACCGGTAGTATAAATGCAGTCTTACCTCATGCCGTCTTTGGGTCTGGTTTCCTTCACGTAGCATGACATTTTTGAGGGGATCTTTCTATTTTTATTCTCACTTTGTTTTCTTCTGCAGCTCCCGGCACTGGTCAGCGCATTCTGACCCTCTGCCTACCCGGTATAGCTGCACAAACTTCAGCGGGTCCCGCAGAACCGAATCAGTGACAGATCTACCCTTTGGCACGCTCACAGGCTGACTCAACGAGAGCAGTTTTGCGTGACATTTCTTTCTCTTAATGATACAATTTCTCCACACTCATTCAGTGGCTGGAACAGTCGAAACTGGGGCAGTCTTTATTCGGGGTGCCCTTTGCATCCCCGGGGCATCGCATTCACTCTCCAGCTGGCTTTCCTAGTGGGAAGCCGCACTTGGCGCTTGCGCGCAGCTCCAGGGTTATTTGCGAACAGAGTCCCGTGGAAGGGGAGCAGCCGTCTAAATGCTCTCTCGAGGGGAGGGTGCCTCACTTGTTCAGGGGGAGGGTCACCATCACAGGCCCTGCAGCTGCTCAGCCCACAGCACTGTGCACTAGAACCCACGTCCTGATACCAAGAAAAGGGCGCCAGCAGTTAAGGTAGAGAGACCAGGGTCCCGCCGCCAGGATGGACAAGTACGGTTTCCGAGATGTCTGCGGTTTTATCTCTAAAGAGGCTTTTTATTATTATCATTATGGTTGGTAAAAGAACTAGAAAGTTTTATTTAATAAGGAATATATCTGCTATCCTAACCCGAAGCCTAATAGGTCCCAAAGAGACTCTGTTTCTTGTCCTGAGTCCTGGCCCTCTGTGGCTGGCTGGGACGGGGAAAGGCCCAGATTGGGGGACGCGCCGCCGCCGGGCTCTGCCTTCTGCGCACTTGGAGGCAACAACCGTGCTTGGGACCCGCGTAGGAAGCGGGGTGAAGACAGCCTGGGACTCGCGTGAACCCTGGGGCGAGGAGCACCGAGGACCTGCGTGAACCACGGGGCGAGGGACGCAGGCGTCCCGCACGGGAAAAGAGGGAGCCAGGCCGCTGTAGGCACATTTTTTGCGCTGATGCACCGGCTTGGCACCGACGACGATAGCAGGGCGCCAGCCGTACCCCGAAGACTTGGGGTTCCGGGAGGCGCAGCAGGGCCGCTGGCAGGCCATCCGGTGGACTACAGTCTCCAGAGTGCCCCGCGGCGCGGGCGGAGCCGGGACCTCCCGCAGCCAATTGAGGGGTCTCGGGGCGCCGCGGAGCAGGTGGAGCCGGCGGAGACCGACGCGCGCGCGGTTGCCGGGCATCCTGCGGGCGGGTCCAGGAGGGGGCGGGGCGAGGCGGAGCGGGGCGGGCCACGGTTCCGGCAGCTCCCGGCAGCCGCGGACGCATTCGACCGGCGCTGCGCTGCGGGGAGGGCGGCTCTGTGAAGCCGCGAGTCCTCCCGCCGCACTCCGGACCCAGCATGGCTTTCGCCAATTTCCGCCGCATCTTGCGCTTATCCAACTTCGAGAAGAGAAAGTCCCGTGAATATGAGCATGTCCGCCGGGACCTGGACCCCAACGACGTGTGGGAGATTGTGGGCGAGCTGGGCGATGGCGCCTTCGGAAAAGTCTACAAGGTGAGGGTCCCGATGACTGCTCCTGCCTGGCCCTGCGAGCCTCTGATACCCGCGCAGCTGCTTCTGAGCACTTCCTGTGTGCCCGCACTGGACACAAAGGGATGTTTGTAGGACCTCAACATCCCAGGGGGTTACCCGAGGCACCCTCGGGAACACGGTGATAGTGGCACATCTTTTAAAGCGGGGCTACACCGATGTTGCGGGAATGTTAAGGCTCAGGGCTGAACCTCGGAGGGGTGGGACACTCCTGAAGATGAGCCTAAGACAGGGACTCAGGGATGACAGAGTGGCTCTGGAGTGAACGAGGACAGGCTGGGGCTGGAGGGCTCAACGGAAGGCGGGGACAGGGTCCTGTGACTGCAGCTGCAGGGCACAGATTTAGCTTCTGGACTCCTGAGTCACCAGAGGCTCCCTGTCTGCAGTTACCTCTCCCCTGGAGGAAGACCTGGCAGAGGCTGTGCGGAGGAGTGGGTGGGGCAGACATGATTCCATTTAGACACGTGTGCAGAAGGACAGCTCCTAGGATTTGGTTCTCTGAGCAAGTTCTGAGTGCCTGGGTTGTTGTTTAAGCACCTAACTCGTACATTTTGACTCCACCCTTTCTCATTTCCTCCAGGAAAAAGTCCCCCCACCCCATGTTGGAGTCTTGTTTTGTTGTTCAGGCTGGTCTTCCAACTTGAGATCAGCTTACCTCAATCTCTGGAGTAGTTTGGACTGTAGGCTTGGCCACTGCAGTCTGATATCCCCTATTTTTATTGGGAGAGTTCCATAGTTCAACTGCTCTTAACTGCCCACCTAAGCTGTAAGTCTCTGTCTTTGGGACTTCAGTAGTTAGAGGGCTCACTCACCCTAGGATTGCCGTTTTAGGTTGCTGGACCCCAGAAAGGGTTTTTCCAGCTCCCAAGTCTGGGCTTGTTCACTTTGACTTGAAATCGGTGTGCTAGAGCCTCATTACAGAAGTTTTTGCCGCTGTAGAGGCACATTAGCATCATTGGGAAGCTTGTCAGAAACTAAGACTCTCAGCTGGGTGTGGTGGCGCACACCTTTGATCCCAGCAGAGACAAGCAGATCCCTGACTGAGTTCGAGGCCAACCTGATCTACAGAGTGAGTTCCAGGACAGCCAGGGCTACACAGAAATCCTGTCTCGAGAAAACAAAAAAGAAAGTCCCACTCAGCACTTCAGAGTGTCCCAGAGGCTTGGAGCAGTGGCAGTTTGGAAGCCAGTCAGACCCGTGGTGACGACCTTGCTGAGCTGCACTTCCTGTCAGAGCTGAGGAACCCCCACTAGAGCAAAGTTCCCTGGTGGAGAGTCAGGCAGAGGCCATCTGGCATTCCAGCTGAGTGGATTTGCTGCCCCTTGACTGAGGGGTTTGCCTGTGTTTGAGGGCTACCAGTCTGGCCCATCCTTTCCTCATGTCCTCTGTTCTGCTGCGTGCTCCCAGTGACATTAGGAAGTGGTCCCCAGCCTCTCGGGTCTGTCTGTTGTCAGCTCCTTCAGAGGTGTCCTGAGCATTGTCAGGCTGCTGGCTTAGGTCAGCCCTCCACCTGACTCAGTGTTTCTAATGTCCAGCTGGTTTCTAGTGCATGCCCTGGGTTCTCCATATTTTTTCTCTTTCAGTTACCTTGTGATGCTTTCTGTTGTTACCTTAAAGCATACTTGAAGTTTTTAAAAGTTTCTCTTAAAGTGTCCTGCTATGCTGGTGGAACTTCATCTGTCTCTAGTTGGCCTTTCGTCCCCAGGTGTCCTGTTCTGGCTTTATATGGTTCATTTTTACTTAAACTCAAATGCAGAACTTTGCTTTCCAGAGACTGAGGGTCTCCCTTGTCATTTCTGCTTTCTGGGTAAAACCCCACTGCTCTCAGACAGTTCCCACTAAGGGACTTCTCAATGTTTTGTTGCTTCTTTGTTCTCCAAGGCATGTAAACCCAAATGGAGAGTTACCGTAGACCCCAAGGCTGGGAGATGGCTCCATGTTAAGATACGGGGAAGGGAGGCCACGAGCGTCCTGCGGCAGCTGGTACCCCTGGACAGAGTCAGTGATGGGCTGCATGGACAAAGATGGCCCCGTGAGACTAAAGGAACTAAAGCCCAGTGCCATACCTTGCATGAGACACATTCCTCACGAGCTTGTGGAGATGCTGGCATAAGCAAACCTGCGCCTCATGCATATAGAAATGTGGCATGTAGGGTGGCTTACAGCGCAGAAGTCTGGTGAGGATGACAAGTGACTGCCACTGTTGTGTGCCTGCCATGCGATGCTCCCTGTTACTTCAGAGCGTACTCCGACTTTTTAAAGTTTCCTCTAAAGTATCCTGCTAGACTGGCGGCACCTCTTCTGTCTCTGGTTTGCCCTGTCTCTTGATTAAGTATCGTTTCATGTTGTGTTTAAGGTGTGTGTGTGTGTGTGCAGGTGTGTGTGCAGGTGCCCGTATGTGGAGGTTAGAGATCAACACTGGGTTTCTTCCTGAATCGCCTTCCACAGGGTCTTTTTTAGACAGGGATCTTCATGCCTCTGCCTCCCCAGCTTTGGGATTACAGGCTTTGACCTCCCTTACCCAACTTTTTCATGTGGGTGTTGGGATATGAACTCAAGGCTCTTTGTGCATCAAGTCCTTATTGACAGAGTCCTTAATTTTTGTGCTGTTTCGTTCAACATGGCCCTGGATACAGTAGACTATCCTAGTGCCATGTGTATGTGATATAGACACACTATGGAGGCCAGGTGAAGGAAGCCATGCCACTGTGTATGCGTGTGGGGATTGTGTAGGTACAGGCTGTACCTCCTGCAATGATGAAATCACCTGATGATGCATTCGTCAGAACATGTCCCCATTATTGAGTGACACACGTCTGTGTCGCCTCCATGACCTTAGTGTATGACATGCCATTCTAACTAAAGTTTGTGTATGTGTGATTATTAGATTCCAGAGGCTGGAAAGGACTAGAACCCACAATGCTAGGCTTTACTTGAATACTTTTTCCTTAGTGTCCTGTTCAGACTGCCCTGTCACCTGCCTGCCTGTCCTGCAGAGCCTCTGCTTCCTTGGTCCTGCCCAGAGCGCTTACGTAGGTCTTTTTTTTTTTTTTTAAACTAAGACCCTCTAATCAATGGTCATGACCTCTATCCACTTCCTGGTTCTTTGGTCCGGTCACTTAGGCAGTCTGAGACAGAAACTCCATCTTGGTTAAATGGCTGGGACCAGCTATTGCCGGTTGGCATGGCACTGGGAAAGCAGTTGGCCATGGGTGGGAAAAGATACTCATTCCCATCCCCATCTGGGTGTCATGTTTTGAGTTCTTATGGAACAGTCATCTTCTCTAAGGTGAGGTAGGGAGGAGAGGAAGTGTTTAGTCTCTGAAGCGGAAAGTGCTGCTCTCAGCAGTCTGTTGCCAAGTGCTGGCTAATTCTGTGCCCCGTGCTTTGAAGGGCCACAGAGTAGCCTGAAAGGGCCAGGCTATTGGTTGAGGTGACTTCTTTGCTTTCTGGAGATTGTTTAGCTTCAAGTGTTTGTCTTTAAGCTTCAAAAAGGTCAATTTGTAGCCAGGCGGTACTGGCCTATGCCTTTAATCCCAACACTTGGGAGGCAGAGGCAGGCAGATCTCTGTGTTTCAGGCCAGCCTGGTCTACACAGAGAGTTCCAGGATAGCCAAGGATGCACAAAGAAACCCTGTCTAGAAAAACCAAACCAAACAAATAAAAAGGTTAATTTGTAAAATCAAGATGGTGGGAGGGGGAGTAAATAACAAAAGGAAAAAGAAAGTCACCCTGAGTCTCATAGATTACATATACCTCGGTGCTGGATTCTGGGTCTTGTGCACACTGGGCAAGCTCCACTGATTGGTATCTCGGCCTGGAGTTTCATGTCTGGCTTTGGTTTTTTGAAAGAGGCCTTGCTGTGCTTCCCAGGAGGGCCTCAGACTCCTTCGTGGTCTCAAGCGTCTTCCTTCCTCAGCCCCTTATGTGACTGGGAGAGCAGGCATGGGCCCTTGTGCCTGGCTGTCTTCTCACGTTTCATTTATGTGTTTGTTTTTATTTATATTGAGACAGGGTTTCTTGGGTAGCCTTGGCTGTCCTGGAACTTACACTGTAGACCAGGCTGGCCTTGAACACAGAGATCTGCCTGTTTCTTCCTCCCAAGTGCTAGGATTAAAGGCATGATCCACCACCACCCCGCGTCATTTTATTTTCAAACTAACAAATTGAAATTGATCAGTTCTTGTTCTGTCAGTCAGGTGTGTAGTGGGAACTTTACATATTCTGTAACATAAGACACATGTCCTCAGAAGCACAGATCTGTGCAGGCTGACCTGGTATGGAGAGCAAATCCATAATGTGACAGTAAGCAGGGGATGCACGAAAGTCAGAGCTTGGGGATAGTTTAGGGTCTGTTGCATGGCCCGCAGTGTGTTTGGAGGTGTCCTCATGCATTTTGCACTCCTTGGATTTGCTCCAGTCGGCTGTCATCTGCCTTTTTTTTTTTTTTTTTTTTTTTTGGCCTGGCACTTAAACCAGGTTAACTTTAACATTAGGATAGAATTACTCCCTGGCATGTCAATGGCCCTGCAACAAAATGGCACTTTCAAACTTAGCATCATATCAGAGCTGACTTGGTTGGTGAGCAGCTTGTTTGGAGAATTCTTTCTGTGGTTTAAATGCATTTTAGGCACTTTAGACTCCCAGATAAGAATGACTGGGCCAGAGGGTATGTGCCTGGCTTGAGGGTGATTTTGAAAACCCAATGAGAGAAATCTATGGCAGGCCCTTTGCTGCCTTCTCTTGCCAACAGCCAACCCCAGAGTCTTTGTGGATCTCCAGAGAGTGAGGGGACTTTGGCAGCTGCGCCCAGACCTCAGGTGCCCTCAGCCCTGCTGGCTTTGGGAGCTGTTTGTGCCTGGCTAGGCGGAGCCAGGACAGCAGACTGGAGGCCTCCGCCCCTCCAGGCTAGGCCCTCCCTTCTTTCACCTCCTACCACTGCTCCTCAGGGTTGGAAAGCCTAG